ATATATAATAAAAATAAATATATAAGAAAAATAAATATATAATAAAAACAAGTATATAATAAAACTAAAAATATAATAAAAATATATATGAAGTTAGTATGACAAATAACTTTATTTTTAAAGATATTTATATCCATCTATAGTTATGTTCTTAGATTTAATAATATTTGTATAATTAATACATATATGATACAAATTTTAATATAAGTAAAAGATAAATATGAATGACTAAGAGTTAATATAAAAAAAATATATATAAAAATTCAGATATTTAAATCCACTAATAGTTGCAATGATCACAATAATAATTATATGATTACAGTTGATACTTGTATAATACTAATTTTAATATAAAAATTAAAAATTATGAAATTAAAAATAATTTAAACCAATATTTTTTTAGAAATTCATATACATAGTATAAAAATAAAGAAATAACGATAACTTAAGAAATTATATGATACTAATATTGAAAAAAATTAAAAAAAGTTATTTATCTTTGGCATTTTTTTGTTTTTATTCGGTTTTTTTGTTGTTGTTTTAAATTTTATAAATATAACTTCAGTTAAAGTTAAAAATTATTTGCATCATTACATTATAGAAAATATTTTTTTTTGTTTTGTAATTTTATAAATATTCCATGAAACTTAAATTTACAATTCTTTTGATGTATTTTGATTATTAATATTACTTTTACATATGCAAATATATTATATGAGCCTATAAAATTATATATTCAATGCACGTATTTGTGCAATTATAAAAAATGTGCTCTAGGCAGTAAAATTGAAAATTATGAAGTATTTTTAATTAGTTTATGAATTCATGCATTTGTAAGTACAAATTAGGTAGCACGTTACAGTGTGATAATCACTGCATATGTGCATACAAATTAATATTAATTGTAAATTTATGCAAAGCACGCATTTTTATTTATTACAATACAATTTTTTTTGTTTATTAAATACTTAAAACTACACTACAAGTTTAAAATTTTGTGTTTTGGGTGTGCGATTTAAAAGCTGTGTTCGAACTACTATTGCAATGGCTTCCAATTTTGTTATTTAATTTATAATTATTTATTGATATTTTAACTTTAAACTTAATAAATATACTGCTGCATACTAATGAGTTTATTTACCATAATCATTTTAGAGTCATTTAGACAACATTATACTAACTATGTGCTAATGTTACATACAAGTTAAACACTAAATTCGAAAGTCATTATTTTGTTTTCAGTTATTTATTTGTTGCAGAAGTTATAACAGTTTTTTTTTCTAGTAATATTAAATAGCGCAGTATATTTATTTATTTAAAACACACCACAGCTTAAAAATACTTTATTGCATTCTTTCTTGTATAAATATAAAAATATTAAAAATGTTGGTAATGATAAATGAGTACATATAGAAAATAACAATTGTGACGAAAATGGTTTTGATTGACTTTTTCTTTATGCTTATAGAACAAAAAAACAATTACAAAAGTTCAATAAAAACTTACAAATTCCTACAAATTTTATGTTATTATTTATTTCGATATAAAAAAGTTTATTATTATTAATACAAAAATTGTAAGTAACAGGGAAGCACGGTTGGTCTCTATGAAATACAATTAATTAAATACTTTCCTTCATGTTTTGTATGAAAATATGGCAAATTTAATACCGACAAAAATATTTAACCTAAGTGAACTATTTAAAAACAAGCTAACTGAAGTTAAAAGTTTTAAGTTTGTAGTCAATTTATAAAATATTTAATATCAAGTCAAATAATATTAAAAAAACTATAAATACGAGATACACAATTAGTTAAAAATTAGTTACAAATGCATTTTTATCGAGTGTTTAACATAGTTTTAAATAATTTAATTTCGTATAAAAACATACCGCCTTAACCTACGCAAAATAATAAGAGTAATAATAATAATATTAATCATAATCATAATAATAAAAATATATGTGTATAAATTTTAATTCTTACTACTAAAATTGGGAGGGGACTGATTTATTTTCATTTTTAAAGCTGCTTAGCTTACAAGACGTATATTTTATTAGTTTAACTCTCTTTTCTTAATTAAGCTTAATTACAATAAATATGCATAAAAGAAATTTTAATAAAAATTATACTTCTTTGTTTTGCAAATTAATACATAAAACAATTGATTAACTTCACAAAAATAAATAAAAAACAAGACTTTCTTCTTATTTCACTTTAAACACTAATTTAGGCTTCCCATGAATTACCTTTCCGTTGGTTTTTTAGTTGCGAAAACTATGATTGTTATTAAATTACATTAGATTTATTTTGTTTTTAGAGATGCGTGGGGAAAATTTCATTTCCTTATAGTTATATGTATATATATATTTGGCATTGAGATACCATTTTTTACTTTTAATATTGTTTTGTCGATAATTTAGAATTGTTATTTGTAACTTTAATATATTTAATTTTCTCTCATACAAAATTTGTTTAAGTAGTGAAATAAAGTGAGTTTAAATATTTGCTTCAGTTAAGTAAAGTTGATTAAAGTTGTTTTCCATTTATAATAATATTTTGACACTTTTTATGGCGAAACATATGGTGGGGGTTTTCTGTATGATGGTGTGGCTGGTGATTTCCCTCGGGCCTCCCGGCCACCTACAACAACAGCTGGCGGTGGTACGTATTCGTCAACATCATTATCTCCTAAAAATATTCAAAAATATATTAAAATATGGAAATATCTATGTGGGTATATATACATCAGTGCTTTAAAGTGTTCGAGTATTACGATGTTTGAGCAGCTCAAGTTTAAACGAATTTCCTCGAGTATTCGACGACTTCAATCGAAAAATTTAATTATTTTAAAATATTTGAATTGGTCGAAGATAGGCAAGTTTTATTTCATTTTAATATTTTTATTATACAATACGTATAACACCAAAAATATCAAACATCAAAATACTCAAAGCTTTAATCTTTTGTAATTAAATTGGAAACTATAGTATATACATATATTTATGTAAAAACTAGATATTATAATTCTAATAGGATATATATGTACATTTAAACTATTAACATACATAAAACTAATATACCAGATAAATACGAGTAAACCAAATAATTAATTTGGCGCTTTCCCTTTCCCGACCACGCTCATTTAACAACAAATTTAAATAGAGTCAGCTACTTTGTGCAACTTTATCCACTATGCTAACTACCGATAAAGCATTAAGCTATTTAGCTATAGCTATTTTGTGGAACTTTATCCATTATGCTAACTACCGGTAAAACTTCTTTTGGAGATATCAAGATTTAAGATAAAACTCTGCACACGCCACCAGCACTTTTAAAATAATTACAAAAAACAACGCCTTTAACAGGTCAATTTATTGGTAGAAAAAATTGCTCAATGTTGTTGTCTCTATGAAAATCCGTAACCCTGCAGTTAGGACACTCATTGGGAATTAACGTAATTATGCGCGACAAGTTACTGTTTATCTTGCTCTATAGGGCAGGTGTTGATCTTTCTGAGAGATATTAAGTAAGGGCTATTGAAAGCTTTGTTGCAGTGCAACCGAAATCTGCAAGAGAATACTGTATATGTTTGGAGAGCTATTAGTTCTTGTTTATTATCGAATTTACTGATGTTAGCTCCGCTACAATAGGCATCGATATATCCATGATATGAAGAAAGAAATCGACGAATGAATCTTGCAGGCAGGACTCTACTAAATATGATGTCATTGGGATGTCCAACTGTGTGGCACGTAAGAAGATACAGCAGTTGGACACTAATTGGTTCAGTTCTTTTACAAGAAATATTTTATATTCTACAAGAGGATTATCAACATGCAATATGCGTTTGAAGTTTAAATTTACAACTCGTCGCACTTGATGACCAAGAGCCGTTCAGCACTCATTTAAGGGGCTACACAAACAGGCATGTCTTTGTTTTAACATTTATCATACATTCGTTCCCGATAAATTGAAATCATGCCTCAATTTCGTGATTTAAGATCGAATGAAATCATAAATGACAAAAAAATATTTATAACTAATTTAAATAATAATTAAAAATTTATAATTATAATATAAATTCTCAATAAGAGTATATAGTTCTTGGCTCAATTACTCCAGCAGAATTTTAATTCGAGTAATTTTTCGATTACTAAGATGTTTTGCAATATATTAATAATTTGATCAATTAATTTAATATAGTTTTATTGTAGATTTTTAAATTAAAAGTTTCTTATATGTTTAATTTAATTTATATTTTTTATATACATGTCAATGTAAATGTCACAAACACTTCGACGATTATTTGATTTTCGCTAATTCTATAAATATCCGATAGGGATTTTTTATACTAGAACAAAGGCAGAGTTTAAATTGCTGTAAATTATGCTTATTTCAGCAATTCAAACCCTGATTCAAGGTACTTATTAGTTATTATGTGAATATTATTATTATCTGTAAAAATTTGTGACTTATATTTATATGCATATATGATGTAAATTTCTTTTACTGGTGTATATAGATTTGTATCTATATCTTTAACAAAAAAAATTTATAAAAATTTTACTCTCAATATTTACCATTCATGTTTGATGTGTTATATGATGGCGGTAACAATGGTGGCTTTTCATCTTTTAAAATAATAGGACTTTTGTTGCCAATTTCTGGTTTTTCATCTAATTCATCTTGAAATATAACTGGTATGCCCCTAGTTTTAAACGATTTTCGTTCTTCTTCATCACCTTAACACAGAAAAGTATTTTTTTAATAATTGTAGAAGATAAAAGCATTTAAAAAAAATTTAATTGTTATTTAAAAAAATACTGTCATAATATCATACCTAGTTCCATTTTACCACTTTTGTGACGTCGTCGGTGAAGACACAACGCTACAAGTGCGGCAATCAAAATCATAGAAATGATTATAACAGCTGGTAGAATGACTGAGTACATGTAATGGTCAGCAAATGATGATTTAAGACTTGGTTCCTCAGTCTTTGTAGGTATGAATTCACGATGTGGTATTTCAAGGTCTGCTGCAAATAAAACAAATTTATTTATTAAATAATTTATAAAATATGAGCAGCACTAACCTTGCAAACACAAGAACACATTATCACATGAATAACTCATTCAAAGAAACTTGTTAAGGTGTACCAATGTGAAAATGTGTTATTGTGCTTACAAGATACGTGCGCCACAGATATTTTGTTCTTCGGTATGAACTTACGATGACATGAAACCATGTTATTAACTTGCATATCTGTTAAATTCAATTCTGGACCAAACACCTTCTTTACACGATTGTGAACTACATGTTCTTGCACTAAGTAGACATTACGTGCTGCTTCGATATCTTCTTCTGAGCAGCGATTATGCGATTTATATAAACTTGTATTATAAAAGTTTACAATTGTACTGTCAGAAACATGTTGAGTTGTTACAGATCGAATTTGTATATTCTGTGTAGTATGGTCACCGAATAACTGCGAAATTCGTTCAACAAATTTACGCTGTAAATCAGCATTAAACTGTTCATGGCGTATAGCTAAATGTGCTTTAAAATACACAGTAAATTCTTTTTTTATTGCATGGCTAACAACTACAACTAGCGCGTCTGTAGCACTCAAGCCACCACTATCTTCAGCTACTAATAAATACTCTTCAGAACCAATGTCGCCACTTTTAGGAATACCATAAAATTCTTGATTTTTTGAATCAAACTGCAACCAATGTCTTGCACCTAACTCTTTATTATCTTTTGTTCTTAACGTAAGTGTTAGCTCATTATCATTTGGATCGTAGAAGGTATCACTTGGAACTTTATATACAAGTAAATGTCCAACTGTAGCATTTACACGATCTACTTGGTTACGTGGCATAGGTGGTGAGTTTTTAGTTATATGTGTTACTGGTTTATTTTTCGAAATTTGTTGCTTTTCACAAGCTCCAATTAATTGTCCAGTTATAGATTTTACACTTAGTTTAGGATAAACTAAATCGTTTAATCGAGTAGCATCCAAACGTTTTATCAAATTGTTAAACTCAGTCTCAGGACATTCATTTGTTGGTAAAGTTTCATTAAAATAGACAAATGTTGCAGTATGAGGATCCGTAGGTGTTTGACGTATTTCTCGCACTACAATGGAATTTGTTGAGCTATCATCCAGTGTAGTAGCAATAGCTAAATGAAAATATTTATAAATTAATTTTCACTTTTCAATAAGAATTTTTAACTTACATTTGATTAACTTTATTTTCCAATCCACACTGTTTGCATTTTCTACATTAATATTAAGAGCAATATTAATTTCGTGATTTACGCTGCGTACTCCACGATGTTGTTGCACGGACATTTCAACCATTTCAGTAACTGATTCATTGCCCGAATCTGTTGCAGATAAACGATATTGATATTTAGATACTGCGTCTTCGAGAGGTCTGCAAAGAGTAATAAATTATATGTTAAATATATTGCAGAATGAACACATTCATATCAATATTCACTTATCGAAACTACTATTCAAACCTGCAACAATGCAGAGTAAAAAACAACTGAACACTTCCTTTGCAAATGTCCAGGCCTGGCAAGATTGTTACATTCCATTATAAAAGTGTACGAAAATAGTTCTATTGGACAACCCATATATAGAATTTAAAAAACAATATACTTAGCCACAGAGTGACTTTAATAGCGAGATTTGTGGCAACAAAACATTTTCTTTTGTATTTTTAAAGGATTTTATACATATTTTTTAAATTAAAAAAGTCTGCCATTTTTAAATATACCTATAAAACTTTATCAATCTTATAAACAACATAGATAAATATATGTTTAAAATAAGTTATATGTGCTATTAATTTTTTGTTTCTTATATATGATATAACAGAATATTTTATGTTAATAAATATAAATATACTATACTGTATATTTTTTATATATGTACAATTAGGATTCAAAAATATGTCTTATTGACGTACTAAATTTTAAAACAAAGCTAGTAATTCCTATATTATAAAAAAAATCAATAAACAGACAAAACTGTTATATTTAACTTTCCAATCACAACCGTGTCTAGTTCAGTGGCATTTATCAAAATCAACAACTGATAGTTGCTAACCACTTATTTCAGGATTCTGACATTCGCACAAAATTGAGCGTTGCAGGTTCTCAAAATCGGTTCCAATTTATAACCACATAATCCATTTTCTCAAAAAAATCTAAATAGATGAACACATATCTTCTTATAATGATGTACTATAGTTTTTCACTACATAATAAAAGCAGTAATTCTTTCAATTTAAAAAATTGTATAAACATACAAATTGTACTTAGAACACAGACGAATCTGACTCTGTGACATTTATCAAAAACCACAACTGAAACTTACTAACCACTTATTTCAAAAATCTGGTATTTGCACCAGAAAATCGAAACTTATGATAATGCATAATGCATTTAAAAGAAGGACTATATGAGCGAGCCACTATTTTATTGTGACAATCACTACTATATAAATTTTAACTTACAATCCATAAAGTTCTCGCGTTTCAGCATTGAATTGTAGCCAAGATGAAGGTCTCAACTCATGACCATCTTTGTCTGTAAGTTCTAAACGTAAATTGGTAAAATCTTCACTATCGTAGAATGTATCGTCAGAAATTGTAAAAACGAAAGATTTTCCTGAAGTCACAGCATACTTCGGCAAACGTGTTCTAATCATAGGTGGTGAATTTTCCACTTTAGGTTCGATATATTCTGTGGATGATGTTGCAGGAGATGTTGTGTCAGTCATTGCAGATGTAGGAGTGGTGCCCAATTGTGTACTAGACGACGACGACGACGGTGATGAAGATGATGTGCCAGATTCATTAATATCAACTGTTTTGGGTGTAGATGAACTCTAAAATGAGATATTAAGTATATTTATTAACAAAATATTGAATATATTTACCACTGCATGGCTGGCGTTCACTTCTTCCGGATTGGGTGACAAGGAAGTAGCTTCTAATTCATTCTATATTATTTATAATAAAAATATTTTAATTAAAATGACAATGTTTGTAATTAAATTAAGAAATATTAGAAACATGCTATAAAAACTTGAAGTGTTGACAATTTAATAAAAAGTAATTCAAATGGACACATAAAGAAATACATATATTATATATATAATTACTAAAAAAATGTGTACAAAAGTGAAAAAGTGAACAAGCATAACAAAATCCATTTAGCAACACAAAATCTATAGTGCAAGTATGAATATGTATGTGATGGACAAATGCAATTTTGTTTTTAATATGGGCAAAGTATAAAAAAGAAAGAAAGAAAGTGTGTTTTTACTTATTTTCTTATTCTTTTTACATTGTATATATAATATATTTAGAGGAGTAGAATATTGGTATACAAAATATAAATCATACAAGACAAAATCTAGGCAATGTATGGATAATGGAATTAGGTGTGATTACGAGGTCTTGGGCAACAACGTTCTGGCATTGCGGATTGCTAAAATAAAAGGTGCAAAAAATCACTTTACACATGCTCGTATCGCACACAATTCATTTGCATCAATATTATTAATAGAAAGAAATTATTTTATTGTATTTTAATGTCTGTCTGCTTATTGGTTGGCAGTGATTTTCACCTTATTGCCTTCAAATTCTAGAACATCAGCAGTATTATGGGGTGGATGGATGGATGGCGAAAGTATTCCCAATTCATCTATTATTGTCGGTGCTTTTTCAGTTGTTATTGTTTTTGTAGTACTTTCTGTTGATGGTGTTGTTATTGTTGTTGTAAGTATATCAACAACATTGACTGCATCGTCTTCAATATTGAGCGAAGAAGAATCAGTGCTAAAGTCATCCACTTTTTCTTGCTGTGTTTTAATTAAACAAACAACAGTAAACAATTTTTTTGCATATATACAAAAATATACTAAGAAAAATTGCTAATTTTTACTTATAAAAATTCAAAAATTCTAAAAAAAATATTGTAATTAGAAGTTATTACTTTTTGATAAAAAAAAAATATATATTCTAAAAGTATTTAAAAATAGCGAAAACAAAATTTTTTGTAATAAATGATAGTAAAAATAATTTTTGAATAATATACTACTTAAATAAAAGGTATGTTCAAACAGATGTGTAACAGTACAATACGTTACGATATATGGAAATTATAACCATTGCAATATATGGAATAAAGCAAACAGACCCGGTACGGATCTGAGAAAGTTTGCAATAATTAATAGAGCCACAATGGTACTGCATTGAAAATAAATGACTACACAGTATGTAAATGGATTTTTTTTTAAGAAAAAAATAAAGCGTTGAATATTAAAATTACCAAACTACTTTTGAAAAAATGAAAAAATTCTTTTTTAGCTTAATTAGTTAATTCAGTTATTCTACAGCTGGTTTATAATTTCGTTCTAATTTAACACAGAAAGTGAATTTGTTAATAAACTTTCTAACTAAAAAAAACTCCAAGTTCGAACAACTTAAGTGTGGCTTTGGATCAGTTGACTAATGAACACTGGCTCAAATTTCACACGCCACGAGTTAAACCCTTGGTACTTGCAGTCTCAAAAAAAAAATTATTTACCAATAATTAAATATAAGGAATATTTTCCAAGACTACTGATTATATCTGCTGCGAGCTAAATTTTAGAGTGATTTACTTTCTCTAATACTAATTTATATTAAGTCAGTCTCTTTTCTGAGTTGAAAAATGGAAGATACAAAAGTGTAATACCTTGAAAACATCATATGAAGGAAGAAAAAAAACACAAGTTATATGAGTTATTCAGTATGCAAAGAAAAATATGGGGTTTTCTAGGAGACCTTTAGAACTTAACTATATAAATGATTAAACTAACGGCATTGGGTCTGTTATAGAAAAAATATTTACTTCATGGATTAATAATTTATATCACACCTGTCCTTCTGAGTTGAAAAAAATCACTAAAACGTAATAAATAATATGAAAGTAGAAACGAAGTACCATTAGAATGAATTACTAAATAAAAAAAAATTATAGATCTTACTAGAATAGTTAAGGGACTTCATTATATAAATAATAAAATGAAACGTATTGTAAGAATATTATAGAATTAAGAACACTACAGAAAAACTTTTACACATATGATAACGCCACCAACTAAGAAAACAGTGAAAAGAAAACAATAGAGTAGTGTATATGCCACTCAATTATTACATACGATAAATGTGAACTATTGAAACTCATTTAATTAACGAATTATAGTGCTTCCACTTTTGTACATAATCTGACTTAATAAGTGACGTGAGGAAGATAAAAAAAAACGTATTCTACTCAAACACTGCACAGTGCCGCAAATTATATGAATCACACTTCGAATTACTGCTTTATAGACCATATTCAGAAGATTTGGACTCTCTCGATTACTATCTACTTGCAGATTACAAGAGGATGATCCACAAATAGCTATTCAAGTCTAATAGGAAAATAATTATTGCAGCTGTAACCTTATTTAACGCCATAGATAAATCATTCTACAAAAACTGCATTGAAATGTAATAGAATGAATCAATTAAATGTCTCACTCCTGAAGGTATCTTGTATTACTGAATAAAATTGTGATCTTTTTGTATAAAAGATGGGATGTTATTAGTTATCCTATGAACTTATGGAGTGATATTTTAATAACAAATTATGGTTGAAAGCCAATAATAAAACTTAGAATATTAGAATTTAAAACAAGAAGAAATATACTACATATTGTGGGATTTTTAAAATGATCATAAAATACTTTAAACGTTACGATATTAAAAGATAATAAATTATAGTTTATAATTAAGTTATAATAATATATTAAAAAACTAACTGATAGACTACACTAATGCAGATAACTATACATAATTCAATATTCTTTAAGTGCAAGTTATTTAAAAGTGTTTATTACTCATTAGAAATAAATCCGCAACATATTCGAGATTAAATTTAAATTTAGTCATAAGTAAATATCAGGGGAAATATTTAAAATATGTGTTTTATTTTTATTTTTATTTTTTGTCATTTGTGTGACAAATTTCTTGTAATACTGACTCATTATAGCCGTTGTCTTTTTAAGAGTTGGATTAATAAATTTCTAACATTTGATGACTTTAATTCTTTAATAATGAAACATTTATGAATGATCGTGTCTAATATTTGTGGTTAATTGTATGATTAATAAGGCATAAACAAAGAATACACATTACTTATTCCGGTACTTAGCGACGTCAAAAAAATAAAAAAACATTAATCTTACTTTCAGTGATAAAAACCAGCAAAATACCGACATAAAAGTACACATAATACAGTATTTTGTTTTATGTTTTGTTTATAACTAGATACTTTTATAAGTATTTCACGTATGTATCTTAAGCTAATCTAATCTGAGGTTTTAATAATAAATAAGAACATCAGTTGTTTATCTGCGTAGATTAGAAGGTTTCATGTTGTTCTTATGTTTTAACTTAACATATAATATAAAAATATATTATAAATATGTAATATATTTTTACTAAGAATGTCTTATTTAAATTTATTTATTTAAAATAACCAAAGCGATATGACTTCAAAATTCTTCTGTCAATTCTATCAATTAGTAATTCAATAGTCGCCCGTCCAATTTACCGCAAGGTTTCTGCCTATTTTATTTTTTTATTAAGTTTTTTGTCTAAAATTAAGTCTTAAAGTAAAATTTTATTCTAATTTATATAACGTTCTTTAGTTCATTGTATAGAAACCCCACTAAGGGGATTTCTTACCATTTTTGTAGGGTATTTTAGTCATTTCAGCGACAGTTTTCTATCAGATATATTTTTTCTTCTTATTAAATTATTGACTATTCTATATAATCAAAAACAGGATTATGTTATTCGTTAAATTGTAGATTTGTTAAATGGGATGACTAGTTAATCTAATAATGGAGCATAAAGCACACTTGCTGTTCAACTAGCGCGAATATTTTCGTTTAGCTCGTTTAGATCCAAATCTTCGAATTCAAGTAATTCAAGACTGTTAAAATAATTTAAAGTATTAATAATAAAAAAAAAAAATTTTTTTTTTCTTATTTTTCATTAAGACCAAAGAGCCTATTCACACGGCACAAGTAATCATATTCATGTCGTTACAAAATCAAGTTAAAATTAAAATCACAAATTAAAATTGAATTCGTAACTTAAAATAGTAGAATTTAACGTAAGTACAAAAATATATGCAAGAAACAAAATAAAAATAAATATAAAAGAACAATCAATATTTAAAATGACTTATGCTGTGTGAACAGATTATAAATTCAGATCAGCTTAGGATAAATACGTGAAAGACAAAATTTTGTTGTTTTAAATTTGGTATACATAAAAAGAATATTTACAACAATTCTATACCACATACATATACGACGCATGTTAGTTAGACAATGATAAAGATCAAAACTAATGTTAAGGGTATTATCTATGCTAATACAGAGAACAATATATTTGATATAGGGATAAAGAAATTATACGGGTATATGTGCAAAACATTAAGTTGTTATTTCGATAAAATATTAGAAAATTTAGGATAATAAAAATATCCTTATGAAAAGTTGAAGATCTAAGATCCCTTTTTTTAATTAATATCTTGTAGATATTTTAAGCCAATTTTTTTCCTTCAACTACGTGTAACATTTTTTACAAACTTTTGAATAACGCAATAATGCAATAACGACATTAAAAATCACAAACAAAAAATTAATTTGGAGGAACCATTGAATATCTACAAAATGTACATAAATTTTAGTTTTTTGAAATATAAATAAATATTTTAGTTTTTGCTTTACAAAGAATTAATCGAATAGCTTTATACAGATATATTAAAACATTGAGATATATAGTAGTAGTAGTAGTAGTAATAGTAGTAGATCGACTAACGTTGACAGAGTACTTATTACAGTTTTTGATTTCAAACGAATATGTACGTTACGAACATGGCATTAAATAAATGTATTACCTTCGTTGATAGTGTTGTTGTTATTGCTGGAGAATTGGTTGGGTTTGTTCTTAACGTTGTATCTGTAGGGATCACCGTTGTTGTTGAAAACTGCGACGAAGAAGTAGAAGCGGAAGCAGATGCAGATGCAGAAGAATAAGAAGATGAAGGAGCAGTTTCAGATGTTGAATTATTATTTAGTGATGGTAAATTTGGTGATAGTGCTGGTGACTGTGGTAAGTTAGATGTTGATGATGATGAGAATAATGGTGATGATGGTGAATTTGATGAAAGCGGTGTATGACTATTTGCAATTGCTATAAATGTGCTTGATTCATGTGAATTGGGTGTAGTTGTTTTTGTGTTTGTGTTCAATATGTTTTCAAAATCTACAGTTACCGTCGTAGTTGTTGAGAAAATCGGCATATTTGAATCAATAATTTCAGACACAGGAACTGGTATATTATCTATATTATTTCTATTTTCAATTGGAACTCCAGTTGTCAATTCACTTAATTCATTTATACGAAAAGGTGTTGTACTAGTTTTGAGCATAAGAGTTGATAGCTCATTGTCAAAAGTAACCGGTGTGGTTGAACTAATGGTAGGATTTTCTGTAATATGTGATGTAATTTCATGTACTTCATTCAAATTAATATGTTCCTCTTTAACTTTATCCGCTATGTTTTTTTCTACTATTTCATTATTTAATTCATCTATTTCATTTGGTCTAATTAAAACTTTTTCTAATTCATTTGTAGGTGCATCATCATCCTCCACTTCCGAAACTTCCTCTTCAACGACTTCTGGTAGTTCTTTGATATTCTTTGTATTTTCTATAGTTTTTGTTATAACGGATTCCAATTGTGAGACACTTTCTACTATTTCTTCATCAATATTACCATTCTTATTGAGTAACAACAGATTAGACGTACCCTCATCAGGCTTAGCATCGTTATTAACCAAATTGTGATTGTTAGATGTGTCAAGCTTATTTTCAGTTAATTCATTCTACAAGTTATGATTTGTGTGATTGTGTTTTTAATCGTATAATACAGTGCAATATTTTTTAATGACATTTGTTAGTACCAAGAAACATACAAATATTTTTTATATGAAAATTTTTAATTTTACATTTATTTCGGATGTCAAAGGAACACATTAAAAAGAGATAGAGAGAAAAAAGAGAAAAAGCAGATAAAACACCACTTGATTAATTACAAATGTTTAAAAATTTATGATAATGATAACTTATATTTAATTTTAAAAATCGTTTAATCACAGAGTGCAATTATTTATAGGTATATTTATATGTAAAAATATATATAACCGAACAAATACCATGACTTATTTTTATTTAATTTAAATTTTACGTTCATTTTTGTTTTTCTTTAGTTAACATTTACATTTAAAGAACCGATGATCGAACAAAAATATATTATATAAAATTGCATAATTTAAAAGACCACTCACCTCGCCAACTCCGTGATGGTGACGATGCGCATGTGTGGTGACAGCTGGAATTTCCGTTTCAGCTTCACTGCATTTTGTTAAACAAACAAACAAAAGTATTACATATATTAAATTGAAATAGTTTTACAAAGGAAATTTGCCTAATATATAATACATACACATTATCTTCCCCATCATCGCCATACTCATAATCATCGCCTTCGTAATCATCCGTACCTGAACCCTCAATTTGTCTTCTTACACGTTGTGCACTATAATTAAAGTAACGTTTAAACATTTTTCACTTTAAGAATGGAGAGTTAATTATTACCTAGTTTTATAGTGTTTACGCCAAATAATCCACCAACCAAATTTCTCGCCAGTTATATTGTCAATAGAACCATCTTTCATTTGTGCACCTATTTGATTTACTATTGGTTCGGCCATTGAAAAGTAATTATTTCCACAACCAAGCTGTTTTTTTAAAAAAAACACAAGATTAACACATTTTTACAGATTCTGCAAAATATTCTGTAAATAATTACGTACCATTAAATTAACACGTCCTAAATGTCTCTTATTATGGCACTTATTGTTCCCCTTTCGTATAAAATCTTTTTCCATTTCGTATAAGTCTCGTTTCGTAACAGATTCCACAGTAATAAAATCCTAAGAAGAAAAAATAAAAACAGATGGATGTATTAAGTATTAACTTAAAAAAAGCACATTTTAAGTATCCTATAAGATTGTTTCAACGACAACGCATAAACAACATAAGAAACATCAATTGGCAATTGAGTTTTCCTCCTCTTACCTTTGGTATGGCAAAGAACTTCGAGAGCTTATCAAGTACTTTTGCCTTTTTATTGTCACTCAAATCATGCCAATCATGATTCTTTAATACTAATGAGAGCATAATTTCAGTATCGGTGTAATGGCAGCGCGCAGATATTTCTGCGGCATACGGATCCTGATTGTAATGTGTTTGAATGGGTTCATCCTTTGGTTCTAATAGTGGCACCTATAAGAAAAAAATAAAAAAAAAATATTTGTAAAATTGTGTATTTATGTTAAGGATCTACGATATTTATCAAAAAATATGTCAATATAAGAATAATAATAAAAGAATAATAGGGTCAATTATATTTTAAATTATATTCTAAATATAGAATTTGAATCAGTTAACAACAAGATCATAGAACAAAATCCGAGTAAAGCTAGGATTTTATAGCTAGAGATCGAATAGTTATTGCTCGCACTTCCCAAGATTTATTACTCACAAGGCAACTACTCAACATAAGAAAGATAGAAAGCGGAGTAATTTGTTGGATAGAGCTGGAATAAGAGTAATCAATTGATATTTAACAGAGTTTAATGCGTAACGGATCTATCTTCCTTTTAGGAATTCAACGATTATACATACATATATTACATTCATTTAAAATTATGTTTTGGGACAACTTATCAAATGTAGTGTTATATGATGTGAGAAAAATACATAACCATTAGTAAACCAAATTTACTTAGTCTGATACCCTAGAAACAAAAAAAGCACATAGAATATATTTCTGAAACATTTGACTACAATCTACAATCGATGAATTACTACAATCGATGAAGTTATCTGAACTTAGTAAGATATGAATCCAGATCATGTGTGCCATAGTTTCAGTATATACACACCATGACATTGGGCAATGATTATAAGTACTTGTACAAGCAAATTTAAAAAAAATTTAAGGAAGATAAAAGTGTTTCAAATTTCCTTTCATTCTGTTTTACCACTACGGAAAAGGGGTATCCCAAGATAAGATATGACTATTGTAAAAGGCGGCTGAAATTCAGTTAGCACTACCCGATAAACTTTGAAATACAAATGGGTGCAAATCTGGTACCAAAGGGTCAGAGCTTGGCGCATCGTGGTGGCTGTAGTTAAAACTAAAGTTATGCGGCTAGAAAGAATGTATTTATTTGCTTTCACTCGATGCAGAATCGCATTTAACAGAGCAGAGGTGTTAAATAAACTTCGCCCCCACCTAATGTATAGTTTCAATTGGTACCGGCGCAATTTTTTGGAATTCCAATGGGAGCGTTAAACAAAGCATTATATGGATATATGTGTTAAGAGTACCGGTGTAAGGTGTTAAGCCTTCACAGCAGGTAATGACGTTAAAAATTATGGACTCTGTCCATTCCGCTTCAAAATATAGGTACATGTAAATTTTAATATTTATTTTAAATCAAATTTTTAATTTTTAAATTTGATTTAAAAAATGATTTGATAAAAATGTTTGTTTTTGTTAATATGGGAGGGAGTCTGAACATCCCAACTTGTCTCACGAAATATCCTATAAGAATATTAAAGTGTAAAATATTACAAATCATATTTTAGTAAACAACAAACAAAATTAATTAAACTTAATTAATGATTATGTCATGTATCAACAAATCAGTATAGTTACATATTTAAAGAGTCATTTTAAATAAAAAGTTGTATATAAAACATTTTAAAATTGTTATAACAAAAATTTCATCTTAACAATAACAATCGGAACAGTTGTGTTCTGTCAATGAAAAATCATTAAATTTATCTAAATTTAGATCTCCAGATTTAAAGATGCGAAATGATTTACATTAAAGAACCTGAACAACTGAAAACTGAAATGTTAAATATTGAATAAAATAATAAAATAATAAAAAAAATTAAAAAAATTCAACAAAATAAAATAATTTTGCACTTCGAGTTCAATGTAAATAAATTTTTCATCAAATCACAGAAAATTGAAATGTGTACAATTTTAAATCAAAATAAAAAGAAAGCAATAAAAATCAATTAAATTCAATAAACATTATATCGGAAATCGTTCAAAAAGTTGAGAAATTGCATGACTTATATTCGTTGAAATTTAAGAACGTAGGATGTCAAGGAGTGAAATTTTTTCATTTCAAGTCTACAGACATTGAGTACGTGCCCCACTAAAAAGTTCCTGGAATTTCAGTGCATTTCCTTGTGTTACATCTTCTACAAAGTCAATATTTTCCATTACTGTGAGTAAACTAATTAGTTGTAGTTGGATGTGCTCAGAGTATTTAATTAACAACTTTGCAAAAAGCACAACTTCCTTTACACTACTAACATAAAATGCTTTTTTTAATTATATACATTACATATAACATATAGTATTTACATAAATATTTAAATCAAATTAAATTACTTATATATATCTATATGGATGTATATATGTAGTATGTAATGTATATATTTATATTTATTTACTATATATATTAAATATATTTAAACATACAAATATTTACTACATGTTATACACAACATACATGGATATGTTATAATAAATTAAAAAGCTAATTAATTTAGGTTTTTCTGAATATATATTAAAATTACTTTCACATATAAAACTAATTTATTTAAAAACCTAGACAAGACTAAAAAAAAAATTTTTTTTATATATTTTTTTATACTAAAAATATGCTCTTAAGAATAAAACATTTATTTCATTTCATTTGATTGATTGATTGACCAGAGACGATATAAAACAGTGACAGTAGTCTTCAATGATTAAAGCTATCTTAATTATCAAGAAGAAATTCTCGCTAATGGATACAAGATAAAAAGCACTATAAACTGAAACTTGTATGCCAAAAGATAAATTAGATCAAATTTTTGTTTATTTGTGGTTTATTAATTAATTGAAGGCGACTTTTCATAGAAACAAGAGGTTGAAGTTCAATAATTCGAAATTAACTTGGCTCATGTCTGTAACGAAGCAGTAAATATAATTAATTTCCATTATTCGGAATAAATATAATTTATTGAACTCCAAGAAATGATTATTAATAAAATTTATTAATGCAATCAATTATGTTTCGTGTGTGATATAAATACAATATTTATATACAAATCTATTAGGATGTAAATATGTACACTAGGGGGGCCGTTATTTACGAAAGTGTTCAAATTCTAGATGCCACCCCCTAAATTTATTCGAATACTCAAAAAACTACTAAATGTGAAGTTTTAGACTAATCGGATAATGTTTAGAGGTCGCTCATCGACCTTAAACTTCGGAAAAATGCCATTTTTCACTTTTTTCAAATTTCTTCGCTCCCATCTCGCGTATTTTTCACCTTTGACTATTTGTACCAAATTAATATTATTCTTTAACATATTAGCTTTCAAATAAGGTAATAATCAATCAATTTCGTCCACAATTAACTAAATTATCACTAAAATAAGAAATCATACTCGACGTTTATTGAAGCTTTCAAGAGCAGCATAAATATGGGAGTAAATACGAGTACGTATGAGCGAAAGCACAGTTTCTTGGACACAAAATGGTACAATATAATATTTGAAGACAATCAAATACTTCCTCACTATATATAATTGTCCACACTTGATTTGAATAATATGCACAAAATAGATTAATAAATATAATAAAAGGAAAGGAGTCCTTAAGTAAACAAAAGAAATTCTCTTAGGTGTTAAGGATGAAATAACAACTTTTTGTTACAAAGAACTACAAAAATCAATTTGCAGAGAAGACTATAAAGAACTATTGGAACTAGTTATCATCTCTTTGAGAGAAAGTTCATCACCAATATTCCGTGACCCTGTATCAATGCACCATGCTCGTTGGATGTCCAAAGCCCTTTACTGTTTAAAGATATATTTATTTCGAAATGAGTTCACATTGTCATCTTTCGAAGAGCAAAAGCTAAAAGAAATCTGTTTGTTCATAATACATGTTTACGTAAAATATTGGTTCAAATGTGTTATAGCATCAGAAGATTTTTGTTTTATAAAAGAAATGTATAATTATAGATGTATTGATAAGACAATATCTGAGGCTGCTATTAAGAAGATCTGTAACCATTTATGGTATTTATCAGATGAATGCATTGGTCTATCATTTTTTGATGACAACATTCCAATTAAAATTAAAAAAAGTATGGCAAATAAGTTAAAAAAAATTATATCAATGAATGTTAAAGTAGATAGTGGTGATAACAATGAAAGCCACGACAATGTGGACGACATTAAAAAAGACGGAGAAAAACGAATTCTTTTGAAGACGGAGAATGTAACCGATTTTTTATCGAAATCACTAGAGGATTTTGTGACAGCCAATACCATTAACTTTTTTAAGCGATTCAATATATCTACAGATTTCTTGAACCTAGAACCAAAAAAATGGAACCAACATACAGATTATGTACACGCGTTAAAAATTGTTCACAGTATAAGACCTGTTAATGATACGGCAGAGCGAGGAGTAAAACTTTTCGAAGAATTTAATAGAGTCCTTGGTAAAAATGAGCAAGATAAACAATATTTATTGCAAGTAATAACAGATTATAGAAAGACTTTTAAAAAGTATACTAAAACAGTTTTGTCAAATAATAAATAAATTTAATATTTTTTTTAAATAAATTACTTAAGGACTCCTTTCCTTTTATTATATTTATTAATCTATTTTGCGCATATTATTCAAATCAAGTGTGGACAATTATATATAGTGAGGAAGTATTTGATTGTCTTCAAATATTATATTGTACCATTTTGTGTCCAAGAAACTGTGCTTTCGCTCATACGTACTCGTATTTACTCCCATATTTATGCTGCTCTTGAAAGCTTCAATAAACGTCGAGTATGATTTCTTATTTTAGTAATAATTTAGTTAATTGTGGACGAAATTGATTGATTTTTACCTTATTTGAAAGCTAATATGTTAAAGAATAATATTAATTTGGTACAAATAGTCAAAGGTAAAAAATACGCGAGATGGGAGCGAAGAAATTTGAAAAAAGTGAAAAAATGGCATTTTTCCGAAGTTTAAGGTGGATGAGCGACCTCTAAACATTATCCGATTAGTCTAAAACTTCACATTTAGTAGTTTTTTGAGTATTCGAATAAATTTAGGGGGTGGCATCTAGAATTCGAACACATTTTTTTGCCCCCATACATATTACGGCCACCCTAATGTACACATAGAAAAGTAT